TCAAATAATTTTTCTAACATAAACTCTGATACCAACTGTGACGACCCCACTTCTCCCTAAGGTGAACCAAAGGGTTGGCGGGTCGTCTGCCTGGCTCTCGCCAGGACTCACACAAGTAAACTGGCTAAACCTTCCCGACGTATAGCTTAAACCATTACTAAACTCGTCACCCGAACAAGCCAATCCTTAAAACAACCAAAACTACTAGAAACACATTAACTTCAGAGATAATATTACCACTGGACGACTGAACATCCACTCTTAAGTACACCTCCAATCAGTTTACAACACAACTACATTCACACGTTACAAACCACAAAGTGAAATCATAGAATTCAAATACAATCCTACAAGCCAAACAAAACTCAGGTTTTGCACTTTTCCAGCTTCAAGTGGCAACCCAAAACGAAAGATACATAGTCTGATTCAAAACAACATTCATAAAAGGTAAAGGCAGACTTCAGGTCTCTCAAATGTCGGAACCTGTTAAGGAAAACAAGTAACATGGGGTGAACTAAAACTCAGTGGTGCCCCGAACATGCAATCATATAAAAAAATAGCGAATAATAACTCCAAACTAAAATTCAACAAGTAGGAAAGCGTATAACAGCACAGGGTAGGATACAGGGCTCTCAGGAGCCATTTTCCACGAACTTGATCAAAATTAACCGCAGTTGACCCTCCGTCAACTCTCACTATCTAAAGTCCACGTAGAACTTTTTTTTTTTATCTTAACATGCTCCAACCAACTTACTCCCACCGGGCCCGTTCTTCTCACTAGGAAGTTTGGTATTACTCGAGTATACCTTTTAATAGTCTAGTCGAGGGATTCACCCAACGACGTCACAACAAGGGGTTACCAAGTCAGGATAAGAGACCCTCCCACCTTAAGGTGTGGTACATTCCCCTGCCTGGTGGTTTAGTTGACGAGTCCACGCTCCAGTCAACAGTTGCAAGGTTTTTTTGATGCTTGAGTTAGGATAAGAGGCCCTCCCACCCTCAGGTGTGGTACATTCCCCCACTCAGTACTTAACTAGTGCGAGCAAGATATTCGAGAAAACATTTCAAGTAAGTCACCACTCGAAAGGCTAGCGCGATAAAGTACACACTACCCATTTCGATGGATCAGGAAAATCACTATCCGATTATCACATAACAAGTCAAGAAAGCGCCTTAACAAGATAAACATAGAACAAGCAAGGACACTCACCAAAAGTGAAGCTCAAAAGTCCAGTTGGGAATCGAAACCCACGTCCTCGCTAAACCCTAAAAGACCAAGTTTTAAAACTATAAGTTTTACTATACAAATTCTTGGTTTATATATAAAAGATTATCCGGTATATAACTAGTTTATCTTCTCAAAATAAATCCTCAATTCTCTTAGAATTAAAACTAGTAAAAGTGATAAAGTATTTCATATGGTTTCTTTGAAGGTACTTTCTTTCTAGAGGTGCAAACCAGAACCAACTTACTTCAAATAAGTTTTCTTGCCGAATAAGTTTTCTCCGCCTTTCATTTAATGTTATTAACATCTCGTGTTTTTGACAATTTTCCTCAAAAACAACTAGCCAGGGTCAGTTTTACGAAAAATTTTAGAGTTTGAAAGTTAGTGCAATCATTTCCTAAAAGTAATAAGGCTAGTTTAAGCAAAGTAAAGAATTAACTAGTTGGCAAGGTTTTAAAAGTCTCGACACTCGAATTTTAGCATTATCGCGCTATACACAAATTCCATATCTTGATACTAGGACACTATATTCCAACAAAGCTTGGTTAACAATTACTCGAATTCAAAGGACCAAAACGGATTTCACGATTCCAATTCACTTGTACATTATATTCCAATTTGCCAATATAGAAAAATCACAATTCAAACATCAATTTCACTAGGGTTTCATCAATCATTAGCCCTAGGTCTCAACAAGTTCAATTCTAATCAAAATTAAACAAAGGAAGTCCAAGACATCAAAACCATTCCAAACCACAATTCATGGACTTTCCAAGCGCATTTCGGCCAAATCACTTAAACAATTCCACCAAAAATTTAACTCTTGCAAAAATTACTCAAATGGCCAAGAGCTTCATCAATCATTAGCTCTTGGCATCAAACAATCACTCCTTACATCAAATCAACCAGAAATTTAACCCAAAACAAATAGGAAAGTCACGGCTCAATCAGCAACATGCATGACCAATTAATTAATTGACTATCAGTTTTAATCCAAAGCCAGGTTCGGACATCATCAAAGGTCACCAGCCAACCAGAATTTCATCCAAGTCTTCTCGGTTGGCTTGCATGCAAGCAGATTCTGTATCACTTTGATTTTCTTGCTTAATCAAGACTGATTAACCTCATGCAATGCTTAATCATCCAATTTTTAGTTAGCTAAGCACACATCTAGGCTCAGATCACCTCAAATTAACAAATTAAAGCTGCATTTCCCAGCTCAAGCTCTCGGCAATTCCCATCCTCTTCATAATCAGATTTCCTGTGACTTAATTCATCATCCAACTGCACAACCATCACATGCATGCCCATAAACAACATCATCTACCTATAATTAACTGGTCTAAGTCCAGATTTTACCTCAACTTGAAGCTCAACACACGCGACAAGCAGCTGCAATTTTTCTCTCCTTTCGGCTTGCTAAGGAACTCGGGTATAACTGGCTGAGCTCAGTTTGGGCAGGCTGTGGTGTTGGTTGTTGGGCTGATCGCATCTGGTTGAAGATGAGGAAGGAAATGAACAGCTCGGCAGTGATGGAGGAGATGAAGACAGATAGCTCGCACACTACCTCTTGCTCTCTCTCTCTCTCTCTCTCGGACAGTTCAGAAATGCAGCTCACCGACTCTCTCCCCCTTGCTCAAGCTTACAAACGAAATGATGGAAGTGTTGGCTCTCGGTGCTCTTCACCAGCTCACGGATGAAATGAAGGAAGAACGGCAGGTCTCTCTTTTTTTCTTTCTAGCTTACGGACAGAGAGAAAGGAAAGAAAATAAAGAGCTCGGCTCCCTCTCTCTCTCACTTCACTCTCGGTTCACGGCAGGAGAAGGAAATGGAAATGGAGTGTTGTGGTGAATTGAAGCTGATGTAGTGGAGTGTGTGTAGTGAGGGTGAGTCGGCAAAGATGGAAGGTTGAGTGTTGATGTGGAGAATGGAACCGGCAAGATGGAAATGCTTGGATTTGAAGCTTACCCAAGGAGGTTCCATGGCTGCATGGTTAATTTGCGATGGAGGAAGGCTAAATTGGTCGTTTAACATCTTGTCCGACCTTCCACTTAAGTCCTTACTCGTAATCAAATTCTAAAATTTTACCCCAAATGAAATTTGATAGCCTACTAGTATACTAATCTGGCCAAAAATTCAATTATCGAGATTTTAACGTCCTAAGTGAAATTATAAAGGGTTTTGACCTAAAATCGATTTCGTCTTAATTCTAGGTTCCCGTTGACACTTAACATTATTAACACTTAATATTAGCTATCGGAATTCAAAGAATTAATATTAAAGCAATAAAATAATCTACAACAAGAAATATTAATTTAACTTGGCAAAAATCAAATAATTTAATATTTTACACAATTAAATTAGTTGTAATCTAAAAATTATTTTTACATACTTATTTAAGAACAACTAATAATAAAATTTATTAAAAGTCTAAAATGCAGTTGCAACATGTATATATGTATATATATATATATTTTTTTTTTCAAGACTCTCACAAGTGTGTACTTTATCGCACTCGACCTAAATGAATGTGAAATTTTCAATGATTAAATAATTAAATGCTAGTTGCGCATGAATGTAAGCCGTTTGGCTAAACTGAGCCCTTGCCCTTCGTTGCCGGTCGACTCGAGCCAGAAGCTGACTCGGTCGGGCGATTTGGTGACTCTGGGTGAACGTTTGGTATACTCGAGTATTACCGTGTAGTCTGGTGGAGCCTGGCCAACGTCCAGGAGGGAGTGGAATAAAATGAATGAACGAATGTCAATATAAATGAAGGGTTTTACTTATCAAAATGCATTTGCAAACGAATGGAGAAATAAGGAAATGAAAGGAGAATGAATGAATGAATGAATGACTTCATGTGAGCACGTATCCTTTTATTGAATGTTATTATTGCTTTATATTGTCATGTTTCTGGAATTACTTGCTATCTATGGTTAATGTATTGAACTCATTGTTTGTTTATGTGTCTGAAACCTCACTGGGTTTTTAGCTCATTCCGTTAGTTTTGTTTTCCTTACAGGGGATACGAGCAAGGGCGAGAGACTTGTATAGAATAGCATAACCTAGTCCTTTTGAAGATATCTTTTGCAATTGTACTCGCTCTAGTGCTTGGTTAGGGTTGGAAGTATTGGGAATCTAAAGCTTTTCTACATTTGGGATTGTATTACTTTTGAGATAGAAATGAATGTAAGTAAGCGTTTCAAGTCTGGGAATTGGTTTTGTTTTACTTTTCCTCGAGATTTTGTAATATTTATCTGAATAGAGTGCTCGAGCCCTGGCGAGAGTTGGGCAAGTGGTCCGCTGAACCCTTTGATTCGCTTTAGGGGAAGGTGGGGCTGTCACAATATTAAGCTCGTTAGACTCGCGAACTCGAGCATAAATATATATATATTATTTTAAGTATATATATATTTTTTATTTTTTATTTTAATAGTAAAATTACATATATATCCTTAATATTTTATTATTTATTTAAAAAAATATTATTTTATTTATTTGTTAAAAATAAAAATAATTATTTTTAATTTTTTTCGAGCTCGAGGTTGAAATTTTCGACTCGTCGAGCTCGAGTTCGAATTCGAGTTCACTAAAATTATGTGAAGACTCGATTCGATTAGGCCAAAATTCGACTCGACTCGACTCGTTTGCAGCTCTAGTTGGAGAGCTAAAACTTTACACGGCTGAAAGTTTCAGGGCCACTGGTTTTTTTTTTCCTTCCTAAAATATCATAGAAAAGTATTGGATGATAAATTCTAAACTCCTCTGCAAAAATAAATTCATTGACACCGTTGGCTTCCATCCAATGAAGTTTTGAAATCTCAAAATTTTCAATTGTCTTACTTCCAAGTTTTTCCTTTTATCTTCCTCACACATTGAAGAAACTCTAACAAAAGAATGATGTATTGTTAGCCTCTCTATGTTACTCCGAACACCAACAATGAATAGAAAGGGCAATAAAAAAAAGAAAGTCATGAATCAATTAGGCAATCTTAAAGCAGGATGACAGTCGCAATTCCATTACAGATTGGTTGGTTATCATCTGATTGATGTAAGCCCCTTGATCTTTTAATTATGTACTATTTTTTTCATTTTTATATGCGGATTGTTTTCTGAAGGTTGTGTTTGGGATATTTGGATCCTTTTGTTTATCATAACTCGAGAGTACGGAGTATAACATGTGATGATCATTTAATTATTATATTTGTGGATGCTCCCCTAGTGTTTGATTAAATGTCAGGTAGATTTTTTGTTCTACTCTTAAACTTTCAAGTTGTAAATTTTAATCAGGAACAATTTTTTCTCCTTTATAATGAGCCTATATTTAATCTTCGTTGTTGTTTTTATGTCCATTTACATTGATTTTTGGCTTCAAAGGTTAATTTTTTGAGGTAGTATGTGTGTTTGATTTAATACCCATGAGGAAGGTTTGCAAGTTATTCCCGCTAATTTACTTTGAAGTGAACTTTTCATGTTTTCTAAAGTTCAACTAGAATTTATTTATGTTAATTTCAACTTTATTCTACATTGCTCAGTTCCAAAATTTGACTCTTGCTATGTGATTTCTTGAGATATTGTGGGGTTGTTAATGCTCATGTCAAAGCCTTTGAGAAGGCAAAGTAAGGACGAAATGTTGGAACAGGGAGAAATAGGGCATATCTTGTTATCACCTAGTAATTTCATTGACCGTATTTGCCGCGGTCATTTTCCAATTCTGAGTTCAAGGCAATCTATAAAGAAGTTTGTGGATCCTTGCAAGAACGCCATAGGAGTATCTCTCAGGGTTGATTGCCTTCCTCGTCGACCTAGTGACCAAGCTGAAGTAAAAATTGTTGTCTTACTAAACCGTTTTGATGTTTTTGATCTTTATCTATTTAATTTGGCTGGTTTATGAGTTTTAGCTAAGCCCATTTGCATTGTTTTCCCTTGGAAAACATGTTATAACTAGCACTGTATTTAGCAAATTCTTTCTGGTTGCATTTAAGGATGATTAATAAATGGCTCGGTTCTACAAATCAACTTGTTCAAAGTTCAAGATGATGAAGTGAATGAACTTAAAATTCAATCGCATAAAATATTATTGTGTGAATGAAAGTCTTTGGAAAGTTTATGAGTAGTTCATTCTCCTTCAATTCGGTGTAGACTAAATTTCAAATAAGTGGTTGTTTTTTCTTGCCAAAAATCTGTCTCTAGTTATTGGTTTAATCTATTTTCACAGGATTCATCTTACATGGTAATGATTTTTGTGCAATATTGTGGAATTTACTTGAAAATTCTTCTAGTAATACTTTGATGATGATGTGTTCGTTTTGCAGATAAAGCATCTACCTGACTTTATAGTTAAACGATAGCAAAGCAATGGGCTTTTTAAGTTGCTTTTTATGGTCAAGTAAATTTTCCAGACCTGCAATTGCAATGCACTTCATATGTGCTCAAGATCCTAGTATCATGTTGACTTCATAGCCAAACTCTAGTGGCACAAGCAATGAGAAACCAGAAGTTAGGGGGATCGGGGTAGGTACGGTAAGCTTAGGTTTGGTTAGATAATGATGATGTATTTCATCTACAATTTGATATACACTTACAAATGTAGTTGTATTTATACATTGATTTGGTGTAAACAAATAAAATTTATGGATACAACAAAGTTATATAAATGTGCACTATATTATGTAAAAGGTGCAATAACCGACTGATAAGAGTTTATTTTACGTATTTTTTAGTGTGTTTTATTAGTTAATTTTGGTTTGATTATTTAGTTTTATAACTAAAATAACTAAGGTTTTGGTAAAAAACTACATTTTATGTTAAAGTGGCTAAACATTGCATTTTATGGATTTTTATGGTAAAAACTTCATATTTTGTAGGTTTAATGATTCAATCATCAAATGAAGTGCATTGAGAAGATATTTGGATAATTGAAGATGGATTAAAGTGGGGAAAATAAAATATGAAGTGTAAAAGGAAGAAATGCAATTTGAGGACAAAAATCAAGAAAAGTCAGCTTTGACAACTCAGACACATTTTCGTATTTTCACTATATCAGGAGCTACAATGATCGGATCAAGGTGATCTTGGTACCATTTTGAAGCTAAGAGATATATCTACATTTGGTATGAAGACATCAAAATCCAATTCAGCCGTTTTCTTGGTCAAAAGGTCGAAACACAGAAACTTATCTGGATGGTCGAAAGCTGAAGCCCAGAATTGACCAGTCTATGGTATTTTGACCATATCTCCGTCCACCGATCTCCAAATTAGATGATTCTTGAAGCATTGGATCTCTAATTCAAAGGGCTACAACTTTTGTGTTTCGCACAAAAGCCAGTTCGGCCTTCATCATGGAGAAAAATGCAGTTGAAGTGAGGTCAAAAGTAAAAACGTGTATGGCAGCCGAATTTCTGTAATTTGCTCAGCCATTTTTCTCATCTTCACACTACTTTCCAGCTAGAGTTGGAGAGAAAACGTAGGCTGCACATGCTTCAGAAGACATAAGGAAGAGATATAGCCAAGGTTCCAAGTCAAAAGCCATTATTTTTGACTCCCTTAACAAATTCAGATTTGGAGAATCATAGCAGAAATTTTTGACTGGTAAGGGAAGGACTTTTCATCAGCTTATATGCAGAGACATTTGAGGACATTGGAAAATATACAGGAGAAGCTTGAAGAGTGCAGAAATGTAGTTCTTCCATTTCCTTAGTGTAGGATAGTGTAGTAAGTGTAGTTCATCCATTCTTGTATAATGGCTAGATTAGGATGAAAATGGAGATGAAGAAAGAGAAGTTGAAGCTCAAGTGACATGGGTTATCTCTTCTCCAACTCTTTATCTTTTGTATTGGATTCTTAAATATAGTTAATATGCAAGTTCTGGAATTTATGTCTATTATGTGTTTCTAAAGTTTATGCCTTGGGTTTGGTTGAACTTTCTATGATTGTTAGTGTTTATCATTTGGCTATTTAACTGCTATGATTTGAGCAAGTTATTTAGCACTTTGGCTCTTTAAATCATGATTATTCTGGTACCATTAATTCTGATTATCTAAGGTGTTATTTCTGCAATGAAAATTGAGATTTAACATTAGTTCAAGAAGTGCTAAACATAGGGAGTACACTCACGAGAGTAGAGGTGCACCTATGTGGTTTTTAGTGATTCATTTCATGTAATTTCACTGAAGAAATGAACTTGTAACTAATTTCATAACCATGAGAATAGGTATGGATTAGTTATAAGTATAATTGATTCACTACGAAAGTAGGATTCAAATGCATAAGGAAATTACACCATAATTAGCCTAGATGTAGTATTCAATGATCCAAATATAGCACTTGCATGAGTAGTTAGGGATACCACAACCTAAGGAGCTTTCATTTGTCATTTTGTATAATTTCAGTAGGTTAAATTTGTTATAATTTATTGATAGTCTAAATAATAGAGAAGCTTTAGTAATACCGGTAATTGTTCACTCTTCCTTGTGGGATCGACCCGATATATACCCTAAACTACTAGTTGATCTGTATACTTGCAGTGAACGGGTGTAATTCGGTATTTTTTAGCTTGCACGTATGTAAAATACCCGTCACCGACAATTGTACACAAATACCAACTGTACTTGCCCCTAATATGAAGTTAGGATAAATTGGATTTAGCTCATGTCAAATAAATTTTGATGCTTAACAACTTATTTTTGTTTTGAAGATATAATTTTGTACTTTTTAGTCTTTTTTTGTTTTCTAAGATTAAAAGAATATTTTGTCGATTATGTATTTCCAACTTTTGGGACTTTGAAATACCTTCATCGATGATGGCATTTTAATTTGTGTCATGCTTTGTTTGTTGTCTTTTCGTTCTAATCCATGCTGTTTTGGCATCATTCTCTAAATATTTATACACAGAGAGAAAATTACACTAACATGACCAAAATGCTAATTTAGTATCATACCTAGGACCAAAAAAAGGCTAATAATACGAATTTATAATTTTCGTAAACTAATGTTACTGGATTATTACTTTATCCATCGATCCCTTACAACAAAGATTCTAATGCGTAATTAAGACCATTATAGAGTAATAATCAAAACTACCATTATACACTACTAGTGATTCATAATATTTAATTTTTGGCAACCATGATTTACAATTTCATCAGAACACATGTTCAAAATATTAAGAAGGATCTTGGTTATTCGTCTGATTAATCTTCTCACATCGTACATATTGTGAGACTAAGTCAAATACGATTGCGAAAGAGTACTTCGTTGAATTTCTACTAAGTTGGTGTTCATCTTTATCATAATAGTGTACTTTACTGCATTATACGGTGTATTGATATTCATATCTACCAAAAATACTAAACGGTAGAAAATTAAAAGAAAAATATGTGTGTGATTCCAATAAGGTACTTTTTTGATGAGTAATTAATTCAACTTTATAATATATTTGATGTGAGAAGATCAACCACACGCATAACCAAGAGGTCCCTAAATACTTTTAATTGGTCCTAACTTTTTCTCTTAATTGGGATGCATTTCATATCAAACAAGTTGGTATTTTCTTCTATCAAAGTGGTGTATATTACTATTATATCTACCAAAAGCTATTAGGCTAATTCCTCTGTTTATTGTTTAAAAAACCAAATCGTGCAAGTATTGATCTGACAAAGAGGAAATATTGAACTATTCCTGTGGGCTTACTAAGCCGGGTAGCCACCTGAATTTAAAAAAAAAATACAAAAAAAGCTGATGGCTATACAGCCCGGTAGCGATCGTCAAAAGGAAAAAAGAAAAAAAGTTCGATGGGATGTCCACAAGAGATGTGCCCACCTGGAATGCCTTGATCGTTGGTCACCCAAAGAGTGGGATATGAGGGAAGCTTCTCGCTTGTTTTCTCATATGCTTTCCAGGAATGTGATTTCTTGGACGACAATGATATCGGGCTACTTGCAAAACGGTGAGTACGCAGATGCATTGGCGTTGTATCTGGAAATGGAGAAAGAGAAAGGATTGAGGCTCAACCAAATGATTATAGCTATACTCCGTTATAGGATCAACTGCTACTTCCGAATCTTTTAGCCGGATATTCACATCTTTCCTGCCTAATTGTAATTGCTGCTGCAGGGGAAGGCATTTCACCCGATGACATCAACATTTGTTGGGGCAATCTAGGCATGCCCACATGGCGGCATAAAGGACAATACTGGGGCCACGCAGGCTTTTTTTTTTGGGCCTTTTGATGACGGCTGCCGGGCTGAGCACAGCAATTTTTAAAAAATAAAATTTTGTAGCCTGTCAGATCAATACTTACACGATTTTTTTTTTGAACAATAAATGGAGGAATTAGCCAAGATATTAAGTGGTACAACAACTAAAATAAAAAAATAAGTGTGAAATGCAACATGGTACCCTTTTACATGAATAATTGATTTAACCTCTTAATATATTTAATGTAAGAAGGTCACCGCATGCATAACCAAATAGCCTTGAAATACTTTGAAGTCACGCTAAATTGCCTTCCTTAGATAGGGTGCAATTCATATCAATGAAGTTGATGTTCTTCTCTAGCAGAGTAGTGTACTTTACCATATTCTGTGGTGTACCGATAATTATATCTACCAAAAGATACTGATCGTTACAACAACTAAAAGAAAGAAGATAAGATGAACATGAAATGCAACAAAATACTTTTTTACATAAGTAATTAACTTAGTCTTATAATATATTGGAGGTAAGAAAGTCAAGCACACGCATAACCAAGAGGCTTCTAAATGTTTTGGACTCGTACTAGATTGGCCCTTTAGTTGGGATGCCATTTATATTAACCAGGTTAGTATTCTTCTCCAACATACTTTATTGCATTTTATGATGTACCAATAGTTATGAAAAGTGGTTAAAGAGAATAATCATAACCAGTAAAAACTACTCTTTGCTTAATTATGGATTTTAACTTTTTTGATATTAATAAATCTATAATTTGAATACAAAAGAAAATGACAACATCACAAAATAATTATGCCGGTGGGACAGAAATGGGGCGGGGGCAGCAGCTTTGCTTCTCTCAAACGGGTAAACACTACATTCATTTGGGATCCTAAATCTGTAAGTTTTTCTCACTTAATTCTTTAATTAATGGGGGAAGATGAACCATGTGTTCATAGTCTTGGTTGCTAAAGTATAAGTTTTATACATATGGGGTCAATCTTCTTATCTAGAAATTGTTTGGATAAAAATGTAGGAATAATTTAAAAAATTGCAGCTGTTCATTGGCCAAATTTGGGGTTAAATCTGTTGGGTGGATTTGAAATTTTGAAATAACATAAAATAGCACTATATGCCACTACAAAAAAAAAGATTTCTAGTGACAACAATTTTTGTCGAGAAAAGGTACGCGTTTCGTCAGGAAAAGTTTTCGTGACACCAACATCGTCAGAGAAGATTGGTCACCTATACACCGTCGGCAAATGGTTTTCCTGACAACTATTGAAATTTTCGTCAAGAAAAGTTTTATTTTTTGTGACGCATCATCAGGAAAGGTAATAGTGATGATTTGGTCATCAGGAAAAGACCTCATATTGTTGACGAGCCTTTGTCAAGAAAGACCCTGAACTTTGTTACTAAATTTTCAATTGTCAAGAATAGTCACACATTGAAACTTGTCAGGAAACTTTAACGACAATACAATGTCATTTTTCCTGACGACAGCTGCATCACTTTTAAGCCCAACAATTTTAGTGCCAACAAAGTGACCATATCATCTATTTAGACACTCCATCCAATCAAAATATAAAAGTATGCAAGCAAAATATCAACCAAAACTTCACAAATTATCATTAGTAGGCAACCATAATATGTCAAACCACAAAAGTTAACCATGTCAAACATTTACATATCATCCCATTCCACGATTTGAAACCAATATAAATATTGCTATTTCTCCCTAGATAACTGCCATATACCTAACATATGCTAAAACCAAAAGATGGACTTCAATTCCATGGTCAACAAAAACTAGAGATGGATGATATCAAAATAGAGGAGTTCTTCAGCATGAGCCAAAATCAATCCACAAGTTCATCCCAAACCTGTACAATAAAACCAAGAAAAATTTGAAATCAGAGAAATAATAGAATGGCATGCACAACATGTATTTTTGTTATTAGGTGGTATTGAGGCTCCAAAGTTGAGTTTGAAAATTATGGTTCAGATTGCAAGTTGGTATTAGTTGGGTAGGTTTGCAAGTGAGAGTGCAGGTCTGCTCTGCTAAATATGAAGAAATACAAAATTAGATATTTTAAGATAATCATCATATGTAACCGACTATAAAGAGTTTGAAAACAGCAGTGTTGATATAATAAATATGTTGCGCCATGTTATGGACCATGTGCCTATATCTAGTTTGTAGAATAGATTATGAAAAATCATTCGATGGCACATCTAATGCATAATCAACAACAAATTTTGAAGATAATGCCACATCAATAGCATTTGAATTTCTTTATTCTCAAATTCTCGTGTCTAATCTTTATAGCCAAAAGACAGATGGGTGTTGAAGGCAATTCAAAGGTACAGAAAGTTGAGACGTGGACATAAACTTGGGAGAATCAACATAAAGCAACTTTGCATACTAATCTTGAGGAGAAAGAGTACAAACACTTCCAAGTAAATTCATAAAAATAATATGTTAGCAAAGGAATGCACATAAGAATAGATTTAGAGGCAATTAAAGACTAGGAAAAGTAAACTGTAATCTTAAAATCCGAATATGTGGATAATCTCTTAATACTTTTAGGAAATTGAGGATAGTAATAACGGGACAACAGCCTCTAGTCTAACCCTACTGACATTTAATAAGATTTTATTGTTGCAAACAGGGGGAAAATATACTGGGAGAACAATCATAGGATGGCCACAGTAAAAGAGCAAACATTTGTGGTAAGACAAATATTTAGGAGGTCAACCACTCACCATTTATTGCCCAAGGCTTATAAATAATTGAGGATAGGGGGCAAGCAAACGATTTTGGAGATAAGAATGAAGCAGAGTGGCACAAAAATTTAGAGCCTTCAGTGTTCCAATGGCTCCGACGAACAAGCCTAAAGGAACTTTTGATGAACATAAAGAATACAGAGGCAAGAATATGAAATTGACACACATGCAAATCAACTATGTCCCCCATTCCTCTTCCCATTTCTTTAAGAATCAAAATTTTCAGTACACATTTTACTTATTACGAATAACACAATTAGATAATTGCTGAGGAGGTTAAAGTTCAATTAGAATTTTGTTTCATAGTTATCTTAAAAGTTGTATTAAACTTAGCATGCCCAGTGTCAACTTAAGTAAAAAAAAAAAAAATTTAAGCAACAGACAACATGGATACAAGATGTCATTCAATTACAATCAATTCATGAACAGCAGCCCTTACTTTGGAGGATTAAAAGATTCTCCAACTTGCCGCCACAGCTTGCAAGCAGTCACCTGCAATCCCAAAAAAAGAGACACCATTGATAATGTAGTCATCTTACCAATGGGAACTAACTTAAGCTGAAAATGCAGCTAAACTTTCAGGTAACAAAACCATATGATACATTTATTTAACTCCTCAAGAGTGAAGAAACTCTGAACTAAAGAAATGTCAAGAAATATGGTCTATAGTATCAAAGCTTTAAATCTCAAGCAATAATGGATTTTTTGTTTGAAACGGGTACGAGTCGGAAAACAAGCACAGCAAAACATACTTTTCATACATGTTATACATGCATAATCATGTAATATGTATCACAAAACCATTCCAACTATCCCTCCTAAAACATGTAGAAAGAATATTATACTTGGCATTCAAAGTTGTTTTAGGGGTGATCATATCACAAGTTCAATGTTCTAACCACCCCTGGCACTCAAATAGGCAATGGCAATAGTTTCAAGCAAAATGATAATGGGTTTTGGTTGAAACCTGCTCAATGATAATTTCTAAGTTTCTTTCCATGATTCAAGGTCAGTAATTCCTTTCTCCTGCAAAAGGAATTAAAGTTAGAAAGTTAAATGAGTGCAGAAATTCCTCTCCAACTATCAGTCTGTAGCCGTGCTTACCATGGTTCCCTTCCATTCCAAGAGATATTTTATCTCCAATTTACTGCTCTCCAGAAGCAGTGAAATTTGCTGCAAGGGCATGACTCATAACTTCATATACAGGAATAAAGGACCAGAAACAAATCTAGAGGAAATAAAAAGAGGAAACCAAAACCAGTTACATGTCAAACAATATCAGTATATTAGCCATAGATATACGCATGGGAATCAGGAGAAAACTTAAATTCCAGGAAAGCAAGCAAAACAGATATTACAAAGTACTTATTCTTACTCGAACTAGAAAACTAGTACAAAGATCACCATTGTGCAAGTTGATTGAGACTTACTTAAATCACAAATAATATAGCAGTATCCTCTTGCACTAAGTTCTAGCACTGAAGCATCATCCTCTCTAGTCTAATTACTGAGCACATAGCATAGCCTTTTAAAATGGTATATAATTGTGAATCAAATTCTCCCAACTCCTGAAGACACACCCACTACCATCTGCAAATGCCAACTTATAGCTCTAGTTCATAATTTGGCATGTGATTGGCAATTTGGCCGCATGTTTACCATTCAAAATTGCACCTTTCCTCATTTAGTCGGAAACTTATCTCAAAGCCATATCTACATGTGAAAGAAGATCTAGAACATATACCATAGAAAACGAGAAAACAAGTAATTGCTATGCTTATTACAAGCATTTCACCAAGACAACACCAAAAAGATACATAAATCACTGCCAATTACATGAATCAATTTTTTTAGCAACAGCTGCAAATACAGAATATGAGCACAAAAGCAAAACAAAAGGTCCATTGTTAATTTACAACAAAACTAAAACGTCAATTTTCCTTTTCTAAAACACTGACAAAAACTAACACGGTAGAACAAACTAAAATCAAGAAACCAGAAATCCGACAAGAATGGGCATAAAAAGCATGATCAAGCAGAGCCGAAGTTCAAAAATCCGAAACTACGAGCGAACATGAAAAATAATGAAACACAAAGTTCAATCGAAGCTTCCCAAATTGCTTTTGCGAACGAACATGAAAAAGAATCCTTTTCACCAAAAATCAACATTAAGATCAACAAAAGCATCACACCCACAAATGAAATCCTAAAAGCACACAACAGTCCAAAAGAAATTCGAACAAAGCAAATAATGCGCCTACGCATTGAACTTCCCTACTAGCAGCCTTGAAACCCCTAAAATCGTTACTAGAATCAGCCATATCATTAGCATCCCCAATTGAACTCAATCGTATAGTGAAGCATCCCCAATTAGCATCCCCAAATCATTACCAGAACCAGAATCACCAAATTTTATACTGATTATATCCCCGGGCACAAGAACTGAAGCATCTTCCTAGGTTTCGACGAACAGAGAAAGGGAGAGATAAATAAAATACCCACTATAAAAATTAAAAAAAGGAACCAATTAAAGACAAAATTGAAAGGGGATTTGGAGAAAGGGAACCGATTCAAGACAAAATTGAAGGATTATTTGATGTTTACATCACCTTAGACCATCGTGTTGTCTCTCTTATTGAAATAGATGAAGATGAGTTACAGATTTGGAGAAGTGCTTCTTTGTCGTTGTTGTTCCAAAAGAAAGAGAGATGGAACAAGTGTTTTCTGTTTCCCGGTTTCTATGTCATAAGTTGATGTCCTTCTAAATTCTTTTTTGGTCCAAAAAAGGGAAAAAAACTGGTGGGAAAAACTGGTGGGAGAATGAAAACTTTTCCTGACGAATTGACGTGAGCAAAAGTAGAAAAATATGTTTAAAGTAGTTGTGCCTTTTGAAGGATATTTGCCTGACGAAGCGTCATAAAAGGTATGGTTTTCCTGACAAATAAGTTGGTTGTCATGAAAATTTTGTCACGAAAGAAATAATTTTTTGTAGTGTGCTTCTTATGTATTGGGCAACTTGAATCTTTAACAATTTTATTCCATGCAGTCCAAATTTGATGGAATTCAAATATTAGTCAAGTTGACATCAATTCCAGTAACTACAGTTGATATCAAGTCCTCAAAAGGGTCTTATTCCCTAGATATACATTATATTTCATATGTTATGCTGGACATTAGAGTGTTTAGTTGCCATAGGATTCCAATCCGTAGCTTTAGTAGTAAAATCAGTATGGCATTTGGACTCTGCATTTGTCTAGCTTAGATTTATTTAAAAGGATTAGACCGCTAGTCTATATACAAAATAGCAATCAAGTTCTTGATCAATGAAAGATTGATTAGTTTTGCTCCCCATCATCGGTCTAGTTCGATCTTTGCTTCGTTTTTGGACTTTCTTCTACAAATTGTGAGTCATTTAATGAATCTCATCCGATTGGCCAAATTTGATGTTTATTAATGATTTTGCTCTATTATATGATTTATTTAAAATTCATCATTGTGAGCAGTCCATTTATTGTGGTATTTGCTTTCTTGCCTTTGTAGAATTGTTATCACAATGAATCAGTCAAAAATCTAATTTCATCTGAACAAGGGATAATTCACCAACTCCACAATCAATGAATGTTGAATCAATTGACTTGACTAATGCAGTAGAAGAAGATGAATATGAAATTGAAGGAGGAAAAAATTAAAATAAAAAATGTGGGCACATTTTGATAGAGAGAAAGGTGAAGATGGCATTTTTTTTATAGTGTGTGCAATTATTGTAAAAAAAAAAAAAAAAAAGATAGGTAGCACTCATGGGACGAGTAATTTGCATGATCATTACAAAAGGTGTGCTAAAAAGCCTAAACATGATGTTAGGCAAATGTTACTCTAAAGTGGTAGTAAAAAGAATGATGGCAAACAAGAATTGCACAATCATGTGTTCGATCAACAACAGTCACGCCATGAGTTTGCATCTACAATTGTATTGCATGAGTATCCATTATCTATTGTGGATCACATTGCCTTTCGAAAATTTGTTAAGATTTTGCAGCCATGTTTTAAACTTGTTTCAAGAAATACAATTAAAGGAGATTATGAAGATCTATGAATTGCAAAGATTAAAGAATTGTAATATCTTGGAGAAGCTTGGAAGTAAGCAATTATAACCGATATATGGACTTCTAGCAACACAAAGAGAGGATTCATGGCCATCACTGTGCATTATATAGATCTTACAAAGTTAAATTTTGAGGTATGTTTCCAAAAGTTAATAACTTGAATTATGTTAATTGTTTGTTATACATGAGCAACTTTTTTTTTTTTTTTTTGTATTTAGGTTTATTTATGTTCCTACTCCACATACCAAAAAAGTGTTAAGTGATATGCTTTTTAGTTCATTGATGGATTGTAATATTGATCGTAAGATATCTATGATTACCTTATATAACAGTTCCACCAATCATGGTATGATCAATTGTTTGTTGAAAAAGTTGAATGTGAGTGATTTGTTGACAGATGGTCTAGTGCTTCAAATTCATTGTACTGCCCATATCTTAAATTGGGTTGTCAAAGATGGTTTAGAAATGATATCGGGTGCTATTGAAAGAATTTGTAATAGTGTAGTGTATTGGACTGCTTCTGTTACTAGAATTGAAAATTTTGAAGAAGCTGCTCGCCAATTGCGCATTTCTTCTACTAAAAAGATGTGTTTGGATTGTAAAACCCATTGGAATTTGACTTTTCTAATGTTACAAACAGCTGCAATTTATAAAGACGTATTTCCACAGGTTAAAGTGTGTGAGAAACACTACACTAATTTGCCAAATGACGACGATTGGGTAGCTTGTAATGCCATTTGTGAGAAGCTAAAATTATTCTACCAAGTAACTGAAATGTTCTCTGGTACTCGATATCCTACATCAAATGAATTTTTTGTAAAAGTTTGTGATTTTAAGGTATCATTGATTCAGTGGATAAAAAGTCCAATTTGTTTAATTAGAGTAATGGCAGAAAAGATGATGGCAAAGTACCAAAAATATTAGGAAGATTGTAATGTGATACTTGGCATTGCTGCAACTTTGGATCCTAGATACAAAATGAAGTTGATTGAGTATTATTTTTCCATCATTTGTGGTGATGAATTATTCATGAAAATTGAAGCAATTCATCAAAATTGTTATTCTTTGTTGCATGATTATCAATATCGATCTAGTTTGGACGGAAATAGAGTTGATAGTTAGTGCATGGCTTCACATAGTAAGTCTGTTATTGGGAGTCATAATAAGAACGAAGTTGAAATGGATCCCCTTGCTAATTTTGATAAGTTTGTAGTTTCTAACTCTAGTGATGTTACTTCTAAGTCGGAATTGGATTTTTATCTTGAGGAAAATGTGTTACCAATAGTTTCAACTTTTGACATACTTAGTTGGTGGAAAACACATGGGCTTAAATACCCCACCTTACAAAAAAAATGGCTAAGGATATTCTAACTGTACCTGTCTTAAGTGTGGCATCCGAATCTGCATTTAGTACTTGTGGAAGAGTAATTAGTCCTCATTAATGTATACTTCACCCCAATACCTTTGAAGCATTGACGTGTACTCACATTTGGCTATGGAATGAAATAAATGGTATACAAAAGATTTAACTTCTACTTTTAAAATTATACAAAATTTTTTGCATTCTTTATTTATTAAATCTGCGGCTATTTTTTATTTTGGTGCAGCTACTTGCTCTACTTCGGAAGAGATATTATGTAATACATTGTTTGATGAAGAAGATTATGTTGATTATGTTATTGAATAGGTATTAAAGAAATTTGATTCATCTAAATTAATTTTCTCCAATTGTGTGTTATACACTATAGCTTTCTTCTTTTATTTTGGCATCAAATGTCAGGATTGTTGTATCAAGTGAGTTATCACATCTTGAGGTTGATGAAGAGCAAATGTTTTGAAGTTGTTGAGCTAGGTCGATGAAGAGAAAAGCTGGACTTATTGTTGAGTGTCTTTAGTTTATTGAATATGAGAAATTAACGTGACTGAGTTTGTTGAATACAGGAATGTAACTTGACTTGTTGTGTTATGTTTCCATGTTGACAACTTGTTAATCTCATTTAGCATTGTTTACAATTGTGTTATTGTAAGTGAACATACAATTGTGATTTGGTCCTATTACATCTTAGTCAGATATTTTAATGTTATTTTCATGGTATTGACAGGTTGCTAATGTTCTTTAGTTATTAATATTTGCAACTTGTTGAATGGTCTAAGGTTGAGTACTTGAGCATGTCTTTATTGAATATTTTGAGATAGAATGAATGATAAAATTGTTCTGTAGATGAGCAGATTGTTAAATATGGTAGGTTGATTTCTTTCCCGTGGGGAACTGCAGGGAAAATGGGCTGGGGGGCAGGGGGTAGGGGATTGGGGGGAGTTATTTGACGGATCCGTCCCCAACCTCACCTCATTGGCACCCTTAGTTAATATAATCAGTCAAGAAGAAGTTTAAGGCCATGTTTGATGATCCAGTTCAACACTTAAATTTAATAAATTTAGATTTTAACATATTCAAACCGTTTGATAACCAAAAATTGAGCATCTGAATTAATTAAGTAGCATTGAATTTTCTAGGCAAAACTTACTCCCAAAATTAAGTGATAAGCTATTCACTTATCACTGAATGTGATATGCACTCAAATGTATTAGATTTAATACTTAACAATTTAATAATTTAATGGATTCAGACTTCAGATTTCAGACTTTTTTATCAAACGCAGCCTAAGTGTTACTCATTCCGCCCTATTAAAAGTGTCATGCTTTCCATTTTTGGATGTCTCAAAATGTTTATCATCTTACCAATGTCAAAGTTACTTTTGATCATTTTTTTGCAATGTTATCCCCACCTTTATCTATATTTCATACTAAGTTCAAATTTGAAATTTGAATTTTTAGAGGGCAACTTTGCACACAAATTTGCTTACATTACCATCAAACCACTATTCTTGAAAAGTTAAATTTTCAAAACACGACAAACAATTTGGGATTGAGGGAGTACACAACTAAAAGAAAGAAGATAACATGAATATGACATGCAATAAGGTACTTTTTTGCATAAATAATTGACCCAACCTCATCATAGTTTTTCATATGAGAAGGTCAACCACAAGCTCACAATGAAGAGCCCCTAAATACTTTGATATGGTACTAAACTATGAGCCTGATGCTAAGATTTCTAGAAGTCCTAAATGATCCTAAGGATTCTAGGCAAAAGTCCACAAGTCCTAATGTGCATTAGAGGTGTTTTAACTTTTTTCAATTTCTTCTTCTTGGATCCAGATGGCTCATTCATGGTTTTGATATCATCCAAAACTTGCTGAGTAATAGTAATAGTGTGACGCCCCCACTTCTCCCAAGGGCGAACCCGAGGGTATAGGCGGGACGCCTGCCTAGCTCGCGCCAGGACTCGAAAATACAAAACAATAAAAACTAAAGAAACCAAAAGAACATTATTCACAATATACAATCCCAAAAGATTTCTATTTACATCCTCCAAAAGTAACTACCCATACCATTACATTCGTATGATTATAACCAAAACCAAAGAGTAGACCCTAAGAAGGGTCCTTACACGGATCACTATAACAAGGAAAAACATATTAACTAGTCGGTTATTACAAGCAAAACCCAACTATACTAGTGACGGTGCCAAAATTTCCCCGCGTCGGCCCCTGCTAAAGAAAACAAAAGAAAAGGGGGTAAGCTATAAGTTTAGTGACTAACCAGGGGTAAAATTTAATTTTTACATGTCAACATTTGCACAGTGAGAGCAAAGCAAAAGCATAAAAGTAACACCACATGGTAAGGATACGGGTGGCTCCAA